GTCTTATTATTATGACCCTTACTTATATAGTAAAAATAAGTTTTATAAGATAACCTTATCTTTCAGAGGCACACCATCTAATGATCACGGTGCACCATTGTGCCGCGGTACACCCTTTGCGGAACACTGGTCTAGAGGAATCTATTTTTCTAGAAAATAAGTAACAGAAAATACCACTTTAGTGCGAATTCTAGGACTCAAAACTACCATAGTAAATCATTGATCAAAGCTTCTTTATCTTCATAATCGATTCAAACACGCCGAGAAGCCCCTGGCGAACATATTTATAAGTAATTTTATGTAGGTATGGTCTTGACAAATACTTACGTCAATTTTGTGTGTGCATTTTTTAATTTAATTTGTTTTTAATCACCCAGTCTGACGTTCAAAGTCGTTAAACCAATTTACCTCTTCTAAGACCTAATAAACTCCATTTGTCTAAAAGTATTGAACCGATATTTTTATAAAAAAGAATAGTGTTAATTTGTATTGAATAAAGTATACACTAAAGTAAAACTCAATAAATCCAATTAGGTTTCGCCATTACAGTGTTAAGTATATACAGCACATCAAGCTAAATACTTGAACTCTTTTAAACTGGTAATAAGAGCGAATTTGCAAGAAAAATGTCTGATGTACTCTCGCTGTACAGTTAAACTCACCCGTTTACTAATAGCTGCGCGTACGCACCAGAATGCGGCGGTTACTGCGCGCGCTGACAGTGAACTGACAACCGGTCCACTGCACATAATATGCACTGATTGCGTACTGATAGGAACATAAATTGAACTGAATTTCGCACTTATTGCGTTGGGAATAAGGAAGTCGCAAGAAACTTGTGTTTCGGCTGTACGTGGTGAATGAACTTAATTTTTGCGAATTTCTTCCGATGGATACAAACACTCTGCACCTTCTATCCTTTTTTCCTCGGTAAAAGTTATGTTCTAGGTAGGGCATGAATATCGGAATCTCGGAATCTCGTAATATCGGAATCTCGGACTGCGAGATCCGATATTTCAATTCCGATATTGAGCGACCCAATATCGTAATATCGGAATCAGATAAAAGTTTTAATTGAGATTTTAAACAAAGCGTTTAAACTCGCCACAACCTGCCACAAAGCCCAAACTACATGATTGGCAAAGACCAATGATTTTCTCATGTCTTTTTGTTCTACTGCAAATATTTTAATATCTTTACTATTTATGGTTAATTTAAACTTGTTCTAAATCAATTTTAGCATTTGCCATAGGTACTTGGTCAACAAAGAAATACATCTCAACTCCCTTTCAAACATTAATTTTACTGGACTATAGACCGTCCGTTCTGCGAACTATGGTGCCCTGCTCATTGCCACTTCAGCTTGCTAATCCGTCGGTCTATGTCAGCGACCTTAGTTAGTTTACGGAGCTCCTCATTTCTGATTAGATCTCGTAAAGAAACACCAAGCTTATCCTCTCTATAGCACGTTGTGCCCTATATTCAAAGGCCACGTTTTCGAGCCGTATTATCATCACTGGTAACACACACTAATTGAAGACTTACGTCTTTATATTCGACGATTTACCTCATTCTCGAAATTGCATCTAACTACCTAGCTGATCGTTTGTCCGAGATAGACATACTTACTTGTCAACAATCTCGAGAATCGAGCTCCTAACCGAAACTGGGTAAGGAGCAACATGGACATTCGACATAAGCTTCGTTTTTTCCATATTCATCCGAAGGCCTACCTGTTGGGAAACTCGATTAAGGTCTTCGAGCATTGTGATAAGGTCTTCCAACGGTTCTGCTAAGGCAGTTCTGCTAACGCAAAACAGACGGACGATGAGGCAGCAAGGTTCTGAAGTGGAGGCCACGTACCGGAAAGTGCAGCGTAGAACTCATAACCACAAGGTGGACCGACTAGCAGGAAGGCGCTGGATGCAGGCCGCCATCAACCGGCCATTGTGAAAATCAGCATCGGAGCCTGTGTTCAGCAGTGGACGTCCTATTGCTGACATGATGATGATGATGGCTCGTGGTTTTGTGAGTTGTACATCGATAATCAAAAAGGAACAAATTACAAGCATAATCAAGTTTGTATGACTCTACAATTTTTGTAACACGTGATTTGAATGACTCTAAAATTCGTTCCGACAACATATAACAGGGTAATATAATAAAGGAGTAAAAGTTTGTTTGATACCTGTGATTTTACAAAAACACTTTAATTATTTCTAGTCCATATAGGCTCATTATCAGTAACCATTCATTATAAGGTGATCCGTCTGCTCGTTTGCCTCTTGTCACATAAAAAAACCAAATGCAATGGAAACCCATAACGTAAAAATGGTTTTAAAATACTTCAATTTTATGAAGTTGCTGTTTTGTATCAAATTAAAGATTTTGATTAAATTTATTATTTTATTGAAAATAATCTAGAATTCTTACGAATATAACCAAATATTAATTTTATAGCACTTGAACTCAATTCCGATATTAATATCGGAGTTCCGATATTGAGATCTAATATCGGAATCCAATATCGGAATTGAAAACCTTCCGATATTACATGCCCTAGTTCTAGGTGTATGGATTGATAACACTGTGCATCTGATACTATTTTGTTTAACAAATGTGTACTTACCTAGATTGACGTGCTGTCGTCGTACTTTGCTTACATTAGATTTTTTTAAACGACAAAAAAATAATTATTCTACTTTATTTTAAGAAACATTCACAAAAATCTGTAATTTTGCAATTTATACGTAATAGTTTTTTCTGTCTTATTAAAAAATCTTGCTCTTAATGTTAAATAAAAACAAGAATAATCTTGTATTGTCGATCGGTATAGGCAGGCCTGGCTCACTCCGCGCGGTACATCCGATAATTATCNATTATACGCATATTTTCTACTTTGCCGAACTTTAGCGCGAGAACGGTTTGTCCAAAACATATGAATTTGGTCTTATTCAATGCAGAATTAAGTGTCCTTCAACCGTCATGAAGACCACTTTTTGATAGGGTAAGTCCTTTACGCGGTATAACCGGAAAACCGAAAAAATGCCTCTTTCGGGGGCCACTTAAGCACAACTCCGTCGAAGTCGAAAACTTAGGAGAGTCTTAATGGGCAACCAATGAAGCCATTAAAACAATAAATTCTTTTGTAGGAATTATTTCCGATTTAAAAGCTAATTCTACTGGACTATAAAGTCAATCACATAACAGTACAAAACCTACTTTGTAACATTAATCATCATTCACTTGTTTCATTTCGCGATGACGTCATATCTGTTTGTGGGTCATTGAATGGTGTGTGGGAATGTGTAATACCTATCTACCGACCTCATTATGTACAGATTAACCATAGGGTATGCAAATTATTATTGCCTTGCATTGAGTATAGACCGGCTGACAGCGACCATTTACTGCGTTGTCATCATAAATGGAATGTAATAGATTAACGCATACCTACTTAGTTCTCATCTCAAGGACCTTTATTTCTCAGTCAGTAAGTGTACCTTATTTGATGGTCACTTCTATTAGTACCTACCTACCCATGGGTAAAATAAGCGTTAGAAGTAGCAAATTAAGAAGATTTATGGTTTTTGAAAAATTTATGTGCACTTTTCTTTTAACATTCCTATTGTTTTGTTGCAGTTACCTATGATGTAGGACTATGTTTGTTTGTTTGTTTACATTTCGTGACAATTGACTATCTTGTACAATAAGTGCTAATTTCATTCTTCGTATGTTATAAGTACGTAGACCTTTTAGATATTTCTTACATGAGCATTGTAAAAAGTAGCACAGAAATTTTTGGTTAGTAGTAGTTTCGCACGATTTTCCTTCGCACGAATGTGCGAAACGTCCCCTTTCAATAATATTTTTTTTAGCAGGCGTTTCGCCCGGATTTATCAAAAGTATTAAAAACGGGTGCGAATCGACCCCTTTGAGAACTATGAGAACTAGTAATCGCATACTACTAGTTCAAAAAAAGAGTCGATTCGCACGCGATTTTAATACTTTTAATACATCCGGGCGAAACGCCTGCTAAAAAAAATATTATTGAAAGGGGACGTTTCGCACATTCATGCGAAGGAAAATCGTGCGAAACTACTACTAACCCAGAATTTTCTATCATCCGTTTTCCCAAACTCTTCAAGCTATGAACAAGCACCTTCTGGGCAACCTCGCTCCATCAACCTAATCACCTTCTGGGTGAGGTTGTATTGTAATCAAAGACTATAAGTACATACCTAAATAGAGGTTTTTTGAATAAGCCACTGCATGCCCGTNGATGTAGCCGTTTCGTGTTTGCGTAGTAAGTAGGTAGGTATGATGTCATTCTTTCTTCTGTGATAGTAGGTATGTTTAATTTATTTGTCTTATGTTAAAATAGGTATGAATGAAGACATTGTATTAAAATAAGTACTTTTTTATCCTAAGTAGGTATATTTAAAATGTTATTTTTACAAAGGTAAAATAACACTAATACTTACCTACATACGTACCTCATTACAAATACCTAAGTAGATTAATTCTATTTTTTCACTAAGCACACAGTAGATAAATCAACTCATATATCTACTGTGCTAGACAGCATAGCAACCCTAGCAGCGTAAGAAGAGTTCAGAGGCACGCGATAGAAAGAGACAAAACTTGTAGGTGAATAAAATTGTAAGTACGTAGTGCTGTGCGAGCTGAATTCCACTGTATCGCGTCGTAGCAAGACTCGCATTTATTTAAATCGTCTTGCGGAGTAATCCTTCTGTACCTGTACTATTACTTATTCTGTGGTATAGGTTCATAATTATAGTTGATTTATTTTACTTATCAGTAGAAAAATATTATAATAATAAGTAATCGACATTATATAACATAACGTATAACTATATCTTGACTCTTTATGTTCAATAACATTCAGAAGCATATTAATGTACCTACACTACCTACTCGTAAGTCAAAATACTGCAATACTGAAATAAGTAGTTTATATTAAACCAAAACTACTCGTATTTAAAAATTACATGAACTATTGTACTAGTTAGTACTAATTACAACATATATTTTTGTCCATCGTAGTACAACCATACTCGACATTTTCTTTCACCGCTCGGCGTTACTATTTCATCAGTTTCATAGTACACTGGTTTTTCTTCAACGTTATTGTATAAAGTGGGGCCAAGATTGTTCCTACTTCGTAAATACGGTTTGAATTTAATTTGAGGCGGTTTTTTGAATATATCTTTTAGGTTATTGTTGAAATTGAACAGACTGCTACGGCCAGTTACTCCATAATCATGATTTAACAAACTGCTACGGCCAGTTGTACCAGAATCAGGGTCTAACAAACTGCTACGGCCAGTCGTACCAGCATTAGGGCTGCTCTTGGCTGAAGAACTTGGCCTGCTTAAGTTTGGTTTCGGCCTGTCTGTGTCTTGGTTAACAGCCCAGTAAGGATAAGGTTGAACTGCTCTTGGAGGTATTACCAATTGTGGATTTATAATTTGATAGAAATTGCCATACATTTTGCCCTCGTCTCTATTGTTATTTGCATAAAGGTTTTTTTCGATCTTTGGTGTTCCGAAATATTCTTTAACGTCATCTTCCTCAGAAGTACGAGCTTTGTTTACGTTTTTACGTTCAGTTGTTTTTGTTTTTGCGGTATTTGTGTGGATATCGTGTAGAGGGAGGTTGGGAAAGAGGCTAGTTGTTTCACTAAAGAGATCAGGCGTTGCTTTTGGAGAATCTTTGCCAGGAGTTTCTTCTTCCTCAGCTTGTTTGTATGCTGAGTATGAAGCAGTACTGTAAGTCCTCGAACAACTAGCATCATCTACGTTTGCTTCACTCCAGTCTTCTTTGATCATGTCCGAAGCTTTCTCCGCAATCATGATGATGGGGGCGTTGGTGTTGCCATTGACGATGTTGGGCATTATGCTTCCGTCGACAACTCGCAGACTTTTGACGCCATATACCTGTAAAAATAACAATTGATTCTAGGAAAGTCTAATATGTACTTTTTAATTGATGCAGCAATTTGGTCATTGAACATGATGCGGTTAATTTAGCTAACGTAATTATCGTTGCGTAATTTGAGTTTGGTAAATTATAGTGTGGACTAAATGACCTGACAATGATGACGATACAAAGAAAAATTATCTTACTTTTAAAGCTGAATAGTGGGGTTTTTACGGCACTTTTCCCATATCTCGTTCCCACCGCTACAACGCCTGTGTAGCCAAGACCTACAGCTTGACCGTCAATAATAACCCACCATCCAGTGAAGGTCAAGTGGCCAGAGAAGGTCAGTAATAGTGAGCTTGATTAAATTTTAATCAGGAATACTCACTCGCAGTCTCGGGTCGACCACAGCTTGCGGGTCGTTCGCCGGGCCCATAGCGCAGGTCCCCACCGGGTGGTATATGGTCAGCGAGTGGTGTCTCGCCTGGCACTCCAGGTGCTCGTGGGACATGAGGTCATGGTGCCTGCAGCCAGGGTTGCGGTTCGGGTTTGGTCGTGTGTTCAGCGCCCGAAGAGCTGGCTGCTCTGACAACCGCTGGACAATGCGGGCGCCCTCTACCTGGAAATATTTGGATAAAAAATAATAAAATGCCTTCAGTACAAAAAATAGGATATAAGCATGAGACTTATCTATAACTACTAGGTAGAAGGCAAAGACGGCCTTTGTTTTAAGGAGATCCCTAAAAATTTAAATATGTTACCGTGAGAACATGATTATCTCCTTTGTTTAATACGCAAATCAAGTTATAAAATTATCGAATCGTTCTGATATAAAATAAATAAACTTTGATTAAAAGTTGACAATAAACTTACCATAACATTCACGTCTTGGGGATCAGAATAATAATTCGGGTAAATGCGTGGCGGAGAGAACGGGTTGCCATCACGAAGCTTTAGATACCCACGACTTTTCGGCCTGAGAAGCAGCGGCACCACTGAGAATGAGGGTTCAAACAAAATATCTTCATACAACTCGGCGTATGTCTCATCTGACAATCCGTTGGCTCTCTTCCCAAAGAACCCACCATCCATATTGTCAGCTGTGGGCGCTATAAACAACTGTATATCAGGATAATCTTCTGCAGGGTCTTGATATTTGGTGTTAATAAACGCCATAGCTTCTGCTTCCATCATACTGTATAAATACCCCTCTTTATGTATCGCAAAATCAATAAGAGTTCCAACGTTTAAAGCTGACATTATATTGAAACAATACTCCGTCCCATTCTTGTATGGGTTATCGAACAGGAACGAATGCCCACCCATTGCTATGTGGTCTTGCAGATTCTTGCCCACTCCCGGTAGGTCCACTAGTGGGTAGATTCCTACGTCTTTAAGGTGTGCTGCCTCGCCTATTCCTGATAACATAAGCAATTGTGGAGACTGTATCGAGCCAGCTGATAAAATAACTTCTTTGCTGGCTTTGATCACTCGCTGTTGCTTATTTTTTACAAATCTCACACCATACGCCTTTAAATTGTCATCAATGAGCACTTTTTCCACTAAAGAGTGAACACTTACATGGAGATTCGGCCTTTTCGAGGCTGGCCTTAAGTATGCTTTTGCAGCACTACATCGAAGACCTTCTCGAACTGTAGCATGAGATCGTGTGAATCCCGTTTGATAGGGTCCATTGACGTCACGTATATTGTATCCAAGTTGCTCCCCTGCTTCCAGGATCTTCTGTGTTATAGGTTGTTCATACCGAAAATACTCCACTGTTAAAGGGCCACCAGTGGAATGATACGGATCATTTTGATATTGAGGTATCCTCATGTCTTCGGCTTTTAGAAAATATGGGAACACATCTTTGAAAGACCAGCCTGTATTGCCCATCCGTTCCCAATTGTCGTAATCGCGTTTATTTCCCCGAATATACAGCATGGCGTTTAAAACACTGGATCCACCTAGCACCTTACCGCGAGGCCACTTACACCTTTTGTCCACCATGCCCAAACAATAACTGTCACTGGGCTCCGTCGCAAACTGCCAGTCTATTGACGACATCTGTAGTATTGGGAAGACAACAGGAACCTCAGATAAAACGTTTTCATCTTGGCCAGCTTCTAATAACAGGACCGTCCAATCAGGGTTTTCTGATAGTCTGCTGGCCAGAACAGACCCTGCGGAGCCGCCACCGACGATAATGAAGTCGTAGCAATCGTACAGCTGATCGAATGGATGGTCTCTCACTCTGTATTCCGCGTCTTCTATGTCTGGCCTGTAGAGATGTATGGCCATGCGCAGGACTATTAAGGTTCCAAGTCCTGGAAGAAGTCCAAACAAGATCCTTGTTCCCGAGAAGATCGGCCTGAAGGAGGCCGGGCTCGAAGACATGTCGATATGCGCACACGCCGCGCTTGCTTACAACTGGCATGGGATGGAGTTGAATGACAACTAACTCAGCAGAAACTTCGTTGCACCTAACATTGTGTTGCTTTTTTGTACAGAGTAGATACATACAGGTAAAACAGAATATACATTTTCTGTGAATGAATACTAATCTGAACAACTTCATTGGCAGAAGCAAGACGAGTAATTCGTGGAGAACGCGTGTACAAAAAAAAAGTGTTTTGCATAGACGAACCTTCTGATTTTTTTCTCATCATCAGTCATGTATTTTCTTTATCTGTTACCGGGGTTTTAAAGCCTGCAATTAATTTAAAATTTACTTCTACGAAACATAGGTAGCTATAATTTTCGTCTAGTAGAATAAAAAATTGTTATCAGGCAGGACAACTAAATCCTAAACTTTATTCATTTAAATTATATCTACTGTAAGTGTAACTGTGGTGTAACTCTCTGCGTTAAATTAATCTGTGCATTATTATGTATTATTTAAAAAGATGCTTTCATCAGCAAATTACTTTTGTTCATTATGTTACGTTCATTGTCACTTATTGTGACCTCGTTTTGTATACTTTAACCTTTGATAACGAAATTATTATCTTCTAAATGATATATTTTTAATTACAGAACTGCATAATAAGTATTTATTAATAAAATAATCTTTTACATTTATTGCGTTTTCTTATTTTTGGTTATCTAGAATCAAATTTCTACGCTTAAAACTGTTACAGTTTAAAATAATAATGGTTCTTAAAGTTATACTGGTTCTTAATAAAATGCAAATAAGGCCTGCTGAAAATAGAAATGGTATTCTGTGGATTATCTTCATTTCAGTTTCAATCAAATTAAACTTGACAAATTGCTGTATTGTATTTAACCGAAGTACCCACCTACTTGTAATTGTTTCAGTTATCGCAAATATGGGTTTGCGATTGTTATACAATCAACAGAGATAAAGAACAAATTAAACGCAATATGCCCTCTGAAGTGCTTAGTTCTTGTTCATGAATTGTGTATGTATTGTAGTTAACAAATCATTTATTGGGAACGTATAAAAATAATTAATAAGTAACCTATTGGACCCGACATTATTTTGATTACAATGTAGGAAAAATAAAACGCAATATTTTGTATTTAATTTATTCAACAGGAATCAAAGTAAGGTAGATTTATGAGAAACAATAAGATACCTTATGTCATCATCATAGATCAGTAATAAACTTTGTAATGTCCAGGTTTTAAATGCTATCGACACGTGTAGTTACGCATCAACTTATTTATAGAATAACAACAAAAATAAATTACAACGCTATTTACAGAAGGCGAGCCCCATAATACTGATTAATACCTAATAAGTTTTGTACGTGACCATCAGGCGTAGTATCTTCTTGAGACCCTCCGCTTGAGCCAGAACTCCTTGATCATGTCACTGCCTTTCTCCCCGATCATTATGATGGGGGCGTTGGTGTTCCCACTGACAAGGTTGGGTATTATACTGCCATCGATGACCCTGAGTCCCTTAACACCGTACACCCTCAACTCAGTGTCCACAACCGCGTCTGGGTCCCAATACGGACCCATCTTCGCAGTCCCGACAGGATGGTATATCGTACAAGTATACTGCCTGATCATGCATTCCCAGTACGCATCGGTATACCTCTGTATGCTAGCACAAGCAGGGAACACGTGCTTGTTCAATACCGAGCCGTACCTCTGAAAGGCCTTCGTCCTTGACACAGCCACGGCAATTTTCACGCCTTCCACCAAAGTTTTGACATCCATCTCGTCAGTCAAGTAATTCGGGTATATGTATGGGTAATCGTAAGGGTTCGCGCTACGTAACTGGATAAATCCCTTGCTTCTAGGACGTAGAAGCATTGGGATGATACTCCACACATCCATGTTGTTGATCGGTCGGAATACAGCGTCATAGAAACTCTCTGATAATCCGTGTACTTTTCTCAGTTGCTCGCCTCCGTCAGAATTCGTTGATCCTGATATGAAATGAAATTCAATATCTGGGAAGTCGTCTGTCGCGTTCATGTACTTTGTATTAACAAATGCAAGACCTTCGACTCCTCCCATTATAGTCAAAGGCCCTTCCCCTAGCACAGCATATTCCATCAGTGTGCTCACTGTATGTAGTCGATGCTCCACGATTGATACTTTTTTGTTTACCATAAAAGCTAAACCGCCCAAACCGATGTGATCCTGCAGGTTTCTTCCTACTTTGAGATTTTGTATAACTGGTATTCGATGTTTTGTTAGTTCTTCAGCAGGCCCGATGCCTGACAGCATGAGTAACTGTGCTGAATTGACTGTTCCTGCTGACAGAATAACTTCCTTTCGAGCTCGGATTCGATATATCATTTTATTGCGAACGAATTCTACGGCAAAAGCTATTTTCGTCCGCGGATCTATCATGACCTTTGTCACATGGGAATGCATAGCTATATGCAAGTTCTTGCGGTCTTTTGCAGGTCGTAGAAATGCCTTCGAAGTAGAGCAGCGACTACCTCGTCGTAAGGTTCCTTGTGCCACCATAAACCCTGTTTGATTTTCCCCATTGATATCTCTGTTCATGTACCCCAACTCCATGCCAGCTTCGATGAAACTCGTAACCAACGGAGTGTGGTACGGAGCCTCAGATATAGTTAGATATCCACCCTTACTGTGGTATGGCGTTTGCGCCAAAGAAGGGTTTTGATTATCTTCAGACTTCTTGAAGTAGTACAAAACGTCTTTGTACCCCCAGCCTTTGTTGCCTAACGCCTCCCACCCGTCGTAGTCCTTTTTGTTTCCTCGCAAATACAACATGTAGTTCAGGACTGAACTACCGCCGAGGACTTTGCCACGTGGCCAGTTACAGCGACCTCCTTCCATGGCTGAAAAAATAACAATTAGGAAAATTATAGTTTAATATTAACAAGTACCACCTACTTTATGAAGTTATATTGATAAGTATTCTAGCTACTCTTGAAAAACCTTTTGGCAATATACATTACCTAAACAGCTTGTTCCTTGAGGCTCAGTCTTATACTTCCAGTCCAGCTTGCTAAGCTGCAGGTATCCCGCTAGGAGAGGGACGTCAGATATCTCTGTCTCATCTCCACCGGCTTCTAATAGTAGAACTTTCCAATGGCCAATCTCTGAGAGGCGATTAGCTACTACTGCACCTGAAACACAAAAAAAACATTCTTAGAACCAAAATCAACTTCTCTTAATGTCCTAAAAGGCATGGTGGTACATTGATGATTCAGGGAAAATCAATTTCCTTCATTATCAGAATCATACTATGAGAGACAAACTAAAATTAACTAAAATATTGTACACGTTCGCGCGCGTCATGAACTTTGCTACATAAACTCTATCAGGCGTTATACCATAACTTCTTATACTCACTGACCAGCGGAACCCGCTCCCACTACGATAAAGTCGTACTCTGGCAGCATGAGTGTGTCTGGCACATCTGCAGGACGACCTTCAGGGTCTGTCTGGTCGAACTGGTAGTATGCGATGGCGGCTACCAACATAGGTATGAACCAGGTCACCTGGAATTGACATAGTTTAAAATCAGAAAGATATCGTTTGCATCTAGAAATAAACTAAAGGCTGTCTGGAGAAACAGTCAAATCGTAGTATCTGTTCCTATTTATTATTTTCTCTTAATGCATCAATGTTCAGTTCAACACGGCTGACTCTATCAATCTGCGTTGATTTCACACCAGATTGTATGGGCTAATAATTACCCACTATGAATGTATGGGCTAATAATTACCCTAGAACCCTATTGTGATGATAATAGAAAAAAAATTTTAGAGCCTAAAATACGGATATGCAGTTATGGTGGCTTTCTGCGCTTTTCCATCATCTTAAGAATGAAAAGCGACGAAATGCAATGTTGAATCTTGCCCACTGCGAAACTACCATACATTAAAATAAACGCTTTACGGTAAGATTCGCTGTATCTACCTCTAGGTCTCTAGTAATTCGTGTTCGTGGCTACGCTATCTTTCTCCATCAACATCTTTATGAGCAAGGTTCCACTTTGCTGCAATTTATTGCTTGTAGAAATTAATCAGATATATGCAAATATTTTATAGTTACCTGAGTACTCGCGGCTGCGATCGCCGTGCCCGATATGACGTCGGCGGCCGCGTTCACTATCGAGCTCATCTTTGCACCTGGAACGATAGGACAAATGATTATTAATTAATTATGGTGATTGCTATGTCATGACAGCAGCAGTGGGTACATTTTTCCTCATATCACTGGGGCAGGGATGGCGAACCAATGGCACGCGCCACAATATTTAGGGCACGCCACCAATCACTCCAAAATTCATTATGAAATAAAATAATAAATTATGTGATTTGAATATCGTGTTTGCCCTCATCAGTTGGCGCCACTGTAGAGTATGGTGCTGTAATGCTGTCACTAGGCAGTAGCGCCACTTGTACGATGCCTTTTTTTTAGAAAAGTGGCACGCTGCCCTATAAAGTTTCGCCATCCCTGCACTAGGGCTTGTCGCTTTGGGAATATGTTTGGGATTGATGAACTGTAAATATAATTAAAACAATTTAGTAAAAACCTAGACAATCTGTAAAATAAAACAAGCAGGTAATTGACGTGAACGTGTAATAAATAATTACATATCCAATGAGCCAAAAGTAATTCCAAGTCAGGTGTCACACTAGTGACGCGTGCGACACCGTTATGAAGCAGGCATGCGCGGACGCACGTCGACTTTAACGGTCGACTCGTATTGACACACTTCGCGCCGTGAAGCGCGTGACAACTTCCCTGTGCAAATGCTTCCTTTACAAGAGAAGTGGTTTTGTGTTCCGTGAAAAATCTGGGAAAATGGAACACTGGTCGTAACTCGTAAACAGCAGACGTCTTTTGTTTCGTTTGACATACTTAATGTTATCGTTGAACGATTCTAAAACGTCAAGGGGCAAAAATCGGAACTTCCCAGTATTGATAGTACCTGGCGTCCTGTAAATTACATTTCAGTGTTTTCTAAAGTGGCGAAAATCGACACTGATAACCCAGTGTTGATAGTGGCTCCCTCCTAACAATGTAATAGCTGGGAAGGTTTAGTGTCGGACAACTTAACTCTGTTTATGTTCTCATGTGTAATCAAAGATAAAAGTAACTCTACTTAAAATTAAAAATAAAGATCCAAATCAAACCAGATATCTACATGGCTCTTACATTAGCTTTCATGTATATTAAGCCTCTACCAAAGTTTTACTATTTCAAATTGGATGGGCAAAAGTTTTTGGTCATCGTTTATTTCATTAGGAATCGATCGTTAAATTTTATAAGGAAATGACTGTCATACAATAACCGTAAGTAAACAGCAAGTTTGTGATCTTATATTATATCATGGTAAAAAATAATATGGCATCTTAAGTAATTGTGATAGATGCTATTATGCCTCAACAATTTATGTATCTGATATGCTTCCCACTCTAATAATACATTTCTTTTTGTAGTATATTCAATTCCGCGCATCTCACCTTAATTGAGTTTTCATGTTTAGGTATTTCCTTACGATTGCAAGGCACGCGATTGTTTTAAAATATCAACTGGTACTATCTCTGAAGTATCGTTTGCGAGTCAACAATTACCACTTTACGATCCAAATAATACTATTTTCTGATCAAGACGAATTGATTGTAGCAATTGTCAACGACCGTGTTTATTAGCCTTTATGTTCATGTGTCTAACTTTAAGCCTAAGCGCAGACTACCGAGTTTTAGTTGGCCCATAGTTGGGTCGGGCTCTTAATCAGTATAAAGATGTATGGAAGTGAGCACATTACACCGATTTGGTATTGGTCAATTCTTCATACAAATTAGAATCGGGCCCAACTATCGGCCAACTAAAAGTCGGTGGTCTGCGTCTAGACTAAAGGGCACTTAAAAAGATCAAGTCACACGGCAAATAAAGCCAAACACTCAAGCATCTTATGTATGTACTAGATACTACTTTGCAAAAAAATCTAGAAATGTTGTATGTGTCCAGTAAGTGGTCGGCTTTTTTTTTATCCAGAACGAGGAAGCTCTTGGCTCTCACCTGATGGTAAGTGATGATCAGGCCGAAGGTGGAAGCGAGCTTCACCCGGAATCCTCAACCACGGAGGAACTGGCTATCTTACCTCTAACTGCCGGAACACAACAATGCTGTTAACATTGTTGTTATGTTAACAGCATTGTTAACAAGACTTAGGTAAGATGGTGGTAGCTAGCCAGTCGGACTTAGAACAAGTCCTACCACCAACCAAACCGAACAGAAAAAGGACAATGGNATAATACAATGCAAATAAAACATACCTTAACGACCTGGTTTTTCTTGTGTTGGAAAATAATTGAAAAAGAAGTGAAAAAAATCATGTCTTTTTCTAATTAAATTCATTCTTACTCCCATAAAATGTATGAAACTTGTGTCTGGTTTCTTCTTCTACTAATAGATAATTTTATTGGCTATCGCATGATATAAAATATTTGCCTATTAATGTTAAGCTACCCACGCTTTCACTTGTTTTTTAAAGAAGAGGTGCAAACTAAAAATTAAAAACTTAAATCGATGTATTTTTTCGAGAAATGGGTCAGGCCCCAAATTTGAAGTATTTTCATCGATAAAATTGTCCATAGATTACGCCCTTAAAGTTTGATCACTACATGCCCGGACACACTGTATATCCAAGAAATAAGCGAGTTCACTCTCCTAGGCCTCACATTAGATACTCACCTAAACTGGAAAAAGTAAAGAAACCGCATTATCTGCTTACTACGCCTACGCGTACGCCTAGCTGCGCTATGGCATCATCATGTGGGGTCACAGCTGTGATTTTGCAGATCTATTCATTATGCAAAAGAAATGCTTAAGAATAATTGTAAATATAAAACAAAGAGTCAGTTGCAAACCTCATTTTGTTCATGAAAAAATGTTAACTCTACCATCCATTTATATTCTAGAAACAGCAATATTTGTTAGAAAACACATTTACTTATTCCAGCAAGATTCAAACCCTCGCCGAAAGACTAAACTTCTCCTTCCAACAGTTGGAAGGAGAAGTTTAATCTTTCGGCGAATTTTCATACAAAATAAATTTTATAAAATCCGATTTGTATGAAAAATAAAATAATTAAAATGAAGATATCAATTTTCTGACTTCACCATACCATTTATATGACCATGTTAACATGGGCTAGTGTCGGCTCATATACCCATTTACCTAACACCAAGTAGCATCTAAAGATTCAGCAGTCATGGCTTATCATGGATATGTGGGATCTGTGCTACGATATGGTCTCATATTATGGGGAAACTCTGTGGATATGCCAAGAGCTTTTAAAATGCAAAAGAAATGTATTCGATCAATCTGTGGGGTACATTATTTGGATAGTTGTAAACCTCTATTCAAGGCTCTAAACATTTTGCCACTTCCCTGCCTATATATATTGGAAATTTCGATTTTTGTTAAAAGATACATTCATCTCTTCGATAAAAACAAAGACTTTGATAGGTACAGAGGCAGGAAAACTGAAAATTTGAGAATTCTCCCGCAAAGATTGACCCTCTACTCAAGGAATGTTCATTGTATGGCAATAAAAATATTTAATAAATTACCCGAAGATATTAAAACATTGACATTTACTAAATTTAGAAATAATTTATTAGAATTCTTAAAACAAAAGATGTATTACACAGTCAGTGAATTCCTGACCGAAAAATCTTTTTGACATTTTGTACCTACTTGACATTTAAAAATTTCTTAAAATATGACATTATTATTATGTTTGAATCTAATGTAATATGTTTGTGCTATTTCAATAATTCATTATCATTTTCTGACATTTGCATGACATTCAATTAATAATGATACTACTTTTTAATATTAAAAACATAACCATATTTTTTGTAATTTTTTGTAATATTTGCACATCGTATATACGATAGAATATGTTGGAAACTTCTCTTTTTATAACCATTTGTAACCGTATTCTGGCAAATAAATGATTTATTATTATGTTTGTACGCTTTGGAGCTCACGGGTCAAAAGTGGCCCGGTCCTTTATAAGGCTTGCGTGGGGATACAGATCCAACACGTAGAGGCCGTTTCAAGCGCAAAATAATCGACAAAAGTGAAAGTGGTGCACATGCTGGATCTAGTCTCTGACTATATCATGGGGTGTAGCCAGAGACCAGCCCCAGCCTGTGCACAGGAGCTATTGCAGTTATTGGAGAACGGACTAGGGTTATGGATGAAGGATGGATGGACTGGTTACTGGGCTATGGATGGAGACTACGGGACACCTGCCTGGTTCATAGTCTCGGACTGAAAAAATGGCAGGCGGTGACTAGCCAGCGACTAAATGCCCCCCCCCTGGCGTCATGGGTCGTATAGACCGGACTGAGGGGCAACATTGGCGTCTGCCAGCTCNACTACCTAGAAAATTGATCAACTTACGAGTCTTGTTATTTTCCGGTGACATATACAGCTCTATAGAGAGTTACTCACCTGGTGTCCGTTTGGTTGCACAAAGTATACATTTTGTTGGTAGCGGCGACTGGTTGCGCCGCCGTGGTGTCCCGGTGAAATATAGCCCAAAGATGACAGAGTATTTAGTTAGATGTGCCGGCATCCGTAAAAAATATAGGGTGTACATCCACTGAAGTGAATCTGAGTGGTCTTGTCATAATACATTATTATGTCAAATATTTGACACTGTTCAACTCCGTATTATTGAAAACAGACTTATGAAGTTAATATTTAAACGTAAGGCGTTGTCAATTTACCTTTCTTACAATAAAATACAATTTAATACTGAGAACAAAAATTGGCATCCACTTTGGTATCGTGAAAAATGCTATAATAAAAGCTGCTAAGAAGATCAAATTGTAAGTTAAATGTGTGAGAATAAGTGAGTTTTCATACGACACATCTGAGATGCTGATCATTATAATGTTGCCAGGTTCAGTGTATTTTTCGGTGATTTAAATCGAACCCCAGAATCGGGACGTCTCTCTATTTGAGCACCTGGCAATTCTCACACATAATAGCTAATTTTGATTGAAAACTTTCATCGTAACAACAAAATCATTTCAAGAAGCGACTCAGTTTCGATAGGTTATAGTTTTTAGGATATAATTACATTAAACAAGATTTATT